ATCTGACCAAAACTGTAGATCCAACAACATTTTTGAAAGATTTAGTAGAAGAGTTGGCCTGGAATTTTAACAGTAACATCCTTCTTAATGTTGCTCTACCTTGATCACATGGACTTTATTTTCTCTCCTTAGATACTGATTTTGTAGAAAATGTATTTCCTGTGCATTAACTTAATATTTTAATAACATTGGAGACCTGCAGCTGAACTAGAAGTCAGGTGACTAGTAAATCAATGATGGTAATTCTACTTACAATAGTATTTTGAGTTAATAAAACCCTTCACTTATAAAGATCTCAATACTGTTTTTATAAATTTGATTCATTGTTTTGTTAGCACTAACTGAATATGGACTTAACTTTTAATTATTTTTCAAAGCATTATTATAAGGAAGAAAAAAAAAAACGTTTTAAAATCCACTTTCCAGGGCCTCCTGGGTGGTTCAGTCAGTTGAGTCTCAGATTGCTGATTTCGGCTCAGGTCATGATCTCACAAACCATGAGATAGAGCCCTGTGTCAAGCTCTGTACTGACAGCATGGAGCCTGCTTGGGATTCTGAATCTCTCTCCTCCCCTGTTCTCTCACTCTCAAAATACATAAATATTAAAATAAAATCCATTTTCGAGGAGGAGAAACCCAGAGGTGTCACATTCCGTGTCAAGATTCAGAACTACATCTTTCTGATTGTTGGTTATGATGGATAGTTGTAGTGTCAACTGAGGCATGCATCAGCAGCTTGAGAATACCCCAAGGACCAGACACTTTCATGTCTCTGTTTGCTGATAGACGCATTGACTTCATCCTAGGATGCTTCGCTAACAATTGCAAGATGGCTGCTGGCAACGCCTATAGTTGTTTGCTGCCTGGTTGACACAGCAGATGAGCATGGCCATTTTTGCTTCAGTATTCCCTGCAGAGATTCTGAGGTCACCCTTACTAGACTGGCTTAATCACAGTTTAGGGAGCCTCACGCACCATGTCCACTGGTTATGAGACTGCAAGGTGCTCATTGGCCTTGTTAGAGTCACAGGCTCTATGTCTGTGGTCCCAAGGCAGAGTTAGCAGCATCCAGAGCACATGGTCTAAGACTGGGGGAAGAAGCTCCCCTGGAGCAAATGTCCATGAGATTGATTACCACTTTACACAGCCACACTTTGAGAAACACTGTGGAAGGTGAAGGGGGGTGGGTGTGGAGAGGTGGTAAGAGAGTGAAGGTGCTGGGGGCTCTTGAGCAGGAATGTGGCAGAGTCAAAACGGCAATCTAGGCATTTGAGAATTATGATGATAATGATAATATCTTATATAACTAGTGCTTTGTATTTTCTAACGTGCTTTCACTTACCTGATTCAGGTCTCAATTTTTGATATACTTTCTTTTTACTGTATTATCATTTACAATAGAAGTTATTGCTCCATCAGCTTCATCAAAGAAGACTACTCATTTCAAAGGTCCCTAATTCGCTCACAGAATATTTCTTGAATTCCTGCTATGTGCCAGGCATCACATTAGATGTAATAAATTTTTTGAATTTATTAAGAGGTAATAACAAACAAGCCACTATGTTGAGTCATTAGTTACATGAAAGCACAGGGTGGCAAATCACTAATCTAGTCTAGAAAGAGAGGAGCTGTCAAGGAAGATTCTCAGAGTAGATGATATCTCAACGAAAATCTCCAAGAAGGATGGAAGGCCAAGAGTGGAGAGAGAGTAAAACCTCCCAAAAGAGGGAACAACATGTGCAAAGTTCCTGGGGTGAGAGCATGGTGTGTAGAAAAACTGCATGCGGTTGAGTATGGCTGGAACACCAAGAAGTGGGTGCTTCAGTTGCGGAGATGAAGGAGGCTGGAGAGATTGGTTATGGACACAGTGTGGGGTGTCTTGAATGCTTTGCGATTTACCCAAGGGAATGCAGGGACATGGAAAGCTTTTAGAAAGGTCAGTCAGCATATAGAATGGAAAATGGATGGGAGCAGGAGGGTGGGGGGAAAGAAATGGGACAGGAAGACCACCATGACTGTTTTAGTCACTGAGGAGTGAGGTGATGATGGTCTGACGTAAGCTGGTATTAGAGGAAGGAAAATAAGTATTTTGATTTGTGTGATATTAAAATGGCAAACGCACAAAACATTATTTTACCTCAAGAAATAATAAGTGGTCAGATTCAGAACTTTTCTCTCCTCATTCAAGTTTCTCTTAAAACAAATCCCATGGGACCTCCTTCATTCAGCAAGCATTAATTGAGCACCTGGTGTAAGCAGATTATAGCAAATATTCTACCACTGTTCAGATGTGGGCATTTTTGTCAGCTTAAGTTGTTTAAAATATGTACATTTGCAGCTTTCAGATATATCACAAAGTCAGTTTCTGTCCTGTTTTACTTCATTTCAGATTGTTCTGAATTCATATTATTTTGAGTGCAAGAGAAAATGTTTTCAAAGGGAGCTGCGGGATAACTTGTTTTTTAGCAACTTTTCCTAAGCTAAAAAAATCTTGTTCATTTTTCTGATAGTATCTGGGAAAGAAAGATAAAGAAGTGTATCCAGAAGATCACTTTATCACTTTGTAAAACTGTGCAAAATCACTACAGAAATCACTCCCAATGCATTTTGTGGGGCTTGCTTGAATTTCAAAATTAGGACAATTCTGTATTCCAACAGATGCAAATGAGGAAAGGTATTTAGCTCCTTCAGGGAATAAAAGGATTTAGGCAAACATGCAGGATGTGTTTACCAATTAATTCAGCTAAATTTTGATGATGTCCGATGCTTAAAAACATTCTATTTACTTACAGAATTAAAAGTCTCTACACTTCTTCATTATCAGCAGTCTGGTATATTCCTCACCCACGTATCAAGCTCCCCTAGTAATCTCTAAGCTGTTGCAATGCTTTACAACTTGGGCTGATAAAGGCAATTCTAATTTAGTGCTCACGTTAATTATCAGTAATATTAAATGAATATATTGGAGCTATTTACATGTGTCATTCATAGTTGCTGTATTCTAAAGAAAATGATTATAATTGTTCTTACTAGTTATCATATTTCATGCTTCTACAGTGAAGTTCTTCTTTTTCTCTCTCTCTTTCGTTCTTTCTTTGTTTTTGTTTGGGGGGGGGATATCTTAATGAGGAAAAAGGCTTACAATATTTTGAAATGTTCACAAAGCACCAAATAGCACTTTCTAATTCATTAGTCATAATTTGTTGGACAATTCCTTTGTGTTATTTTATTTATTTCTGAGCTCATGTAAACCAGATTAAAAAAGAAAAATGGGGCAGTCAGTCAATCTTCTTTAACTGATAACTGGCAAAGAGATGAGAATACAGAACAAAAAACAGAATACCTCTGAGATTTCAAAAAGTTTACATTTCTCTGCATTTTGTTCTTAGTTTCATTATAAATTAAAATATGAAACATGAAGCATAACTTTTGTTCCCTAAATATTACCCAATTAGAATCCTGACTCATAGTAAACCTGAGGATAACTTGTTTTGATAGTACCTTTCCCCTAAGCCAAAGCATTTCACTCTACCTATATTGAACAAAAACTTATAATTTCTAATATGTAATTACCTGCCTGCTACAGATGGTTGATTAAATTTCAAAGTTGATTCAATATTCCGAACTTTGCTATGACAATAAAAGTTGCAGGATGTTCACTTGAATTGACTTACATAGAATAAAATCTGTTATTTAGTGCAATTGGGGGAACAAGGTGTTTTCAAAAAATGGATTGTTTCCAAATAGCTGAAGTTCAAATCTTTAAATTGTTTTTCACCCTGAGCACTCCTATTTATCATTCAAGGCTCAACTCAACATTGCCTTTTCTGGAAAGCTTTCCCTAATCTCTCTGCCAGCCACAGTCAGAGTTTATGCTCCCTTTTTTGTGACCGCACACCATTTTGTATTGTAAGCATCTGTTTTACTCAACTGTCCTTATCAGCCTCCTTTCTCCTCCCCCTCCATTAACTGTAAACTCAGTGTGAGTTGAGACTGTCCTGCTCATCTTTGTATTTCCAATGCCTCACACCATGTCTCATGTATAGCCGGTAGATTCTTACCATGAGATGGAAGCCATTTGTGAATAGACCATACATTTCCTTACCTTCTTAAACAGAGTTTATAATGAATAATAATCATAAAATTTTTAATTACTTAGACTTGTCACCACAGGCCCAAAATGTTTGTAAACCCTGCAAATATGTGTCTGTCAGTCTCACAGTACACGGCTGAGCTGCCTCGGGTCTGTGTGCCCTCTACGAGCTCCTGGGATGAGATGGGCTCTTGGTGCCAGATCTCTAGAGTTATCGAAGAATCCTGTGGGGTCCGTTGAGGTAACTCCTAACAGCAGGGTGTCTGCTCCTCAATGCTTTAATTGACCTTCATCTCTGTGTTATGTCGGTCTCAGCCTCTTGATAGTGATGCTACGGCTAGAAATGTCAGAGGCACTTGCCAGACCCGTATTTCTGGTAGCGAGCCCCCACAGACATGTGCCTCACGGGCCCTTGTGGTTGCAGGATGCATTTCAGTAAAAACCATGAAGGAACTTTGAGGAATGAGATTTATTATTCACAAGTCCTGGAAGGTATAAGACACACCCAAGGATTGCACAGTGAAGTCTGGGGTAGAGAAAGAGAGAAAGCTTGGACCCAGGGCTCTGCCTTTAGCAGGGCCCCAAGGTAGCAGTCTCAGGTTTCACAGGTACACTCTATTGGCTAGTTTGTTTATCTATCTATCTATCTATCTATCCATCTATCTATCATCAATTTTTATTTGAGAGAGAGCACATGCACATGCACAAGCAAGGGAAGAGACAGAGAGAAAGAGAGAGAGAGAATCTTAAGCAGGCTCCAGCCCTGCACTGAGCCGTGCTCAGTCTCACCATCCTGGGATCATGACTTGAGCCAAAATCAAGAGTCTGATGCTCAACTGACTGAGCCACCCAGGGGCTCTCTATTGGCTAGTTTAAAGCATAAGAGTGGGACTTAGGGCACAGGAAGGGGATGTGGGGTCACTTGGGTGGTCAGTTCTGTAGGTCACCCAGGGCTTTCTGAAGGAGGGAACTTCATGGGTGGGGGCAGGCCCATTCCTTAGATGGTTGTTTTGCTAGTAGCTTCATCACACAGCTAGCTGTATGTTTATTCAAGATGGATGTCATTTGAGTTGGATGCAATTAAAAGCTTAATGCCAGGTACTTATACTACACTCTGCTACTTCCGATGGTCCCTTTGTCTCTCTTTTCTCTTCTTTTTAGTTTAAGCAATTGTTGGCTCTTGAGCCAAATGTCCTGGTTTTCAGAGCAATCACCATCCTTTCCTCACAATGTGGAAGCCAACACTCCCATTCCATCTTACGGCATCTTTCTGGTTAGTTTCATTAATGTTTGTTTTTCGAATTTTCAATTACTCGTTTACCTTTTCTTCTCTCCTGATAGAGAAAGCCTAATTAAAAAACAAACAAACAGACAAGAAAACCAAAGAAACAATCAAAACTCCAGACTCATTTTCATTCTGAATGTTTAAGCTGAATGTTTAATGTTTACAGAAATCTGTTTTCTAGAAGATAGAGGTGTGACTACAACTGATTCCCATCTCAAATGATTCCTTACAATTTAATTTGTATCTAGCAGAAAAATAAATGTAATTCTGCTTGGCATATGCAAGTAGAATATTCTAAAGGTATCAAACTCATTTCAAGTAATTCTATAAACTTTTTGCTTGGATGAGTTCTTTGTCCATTTCCTTTAAATTCTTTCAAGACTCTCAATGGTCTTTATTTTTGTAACTCACAACTCTTACATCAGAACATGTTTTAGATAGTTAACCCAAATATTTCTGAGAGTGATTTTGCCTTTTCTTTACTGCATGATTCTCAGTGAAAACACAGATTCTTCATTTAGTACCAATCTAGTGCAGCCCTTTAAAAACTTAATGACTCCTCTAGCCTATAATTGTTAGAGCCAAAAAACTCATTAGTTTTTAGCATTTACTTTTAGGACTTACATACAAGTCTGCTAATTTTTCCCCTTAATTGTCCCACCTTTCTTAAAATAAGATCCTTAGATCACTTGCATCAGAATCAGACTTACTCAATAGTATTTACTGTAAAGGAAAAGTACCTCAAAATCGCACTCCACATACTCATTTATACAGTATCTCACTTTGTATAAAAATAGAAGTAACAACAACAAGGTGAGTATTCCACTGATAACTAAATCCGGATTGTAGTCTACTGTGAGCCCCTAACCACCACCCCCTTTATCTATTCAAAGCCAGCTTGTTTTATTTTAATTTGTGTTGAAAAGGCCCCATAGAGGTCAAGTAATCTCTGTCAGTTCCTTTTGAGGAATTCTCCCCCCTTTTCTAATCTCAGTTTTGATTCTCCTTTCTATCCATACTCTCTCTGGTTAGCTGCACCCAGTCTCATGGCTTTCAATGACATCTATAAGCTAATGGCTTCCAAATTTATAACTCTGGCCCAAACTTCCTCCTGGACTCAGGACCATATAGTTAATTATCTACTTGTCATCTAATGGGCATCTCACATTTAACATGACTAAAGTTTAATTTTCGATTCCCATCTCAATATCCGGAGCCCATATTTTTCAAGTCTTCCCCATTCCAATGAATGGCATTACCTTCATTCATTTTCTCAGCCAAAAACCTAGGAGTCATTTCAGATTATTCTCTCTCTCTGGTCCCTTGCATCCAGTCTTTAGCAAGCCCTGTTCGTACAATATCCAACATACATTCTGAATCTGACACTTCTTGCCCCCTTCATGAGTACCATGATGGTCTAAAGCCACTATTATCCTTTGGCTAGTTGTACAACAGCCTCACCACTGTTCTCGTGACTTTCACTCTTACTCTCTACCCAGTGGCAGAATCACCTTTTAGCTGTAGTCAGATTGCATTGCTCCACTGCTCAAAACTCTCCTTGGGCTTCCCACTGTACTTAAAACAAAACCTAAAGTCCCTGCCATGGCCCGCAAGGCCTCTCTCCCATCTCATCTCCTGCTACTCTATCCTAACATGTTCCTATGTCAGGGTCTTTGCAGTCGCTATTTCTTCTGTCTGGAATGCCCCTGCTCCACAGATCCACCCAAATTCCTCCATCACTTTTCAAGTCTCTGCCCACCTATCACCCTATTCAGGGTGGGGGTGGGGGCTTTTCTGTCTAAACTGCCACCCTTCCATCACTCTTCATTGCCTTACCCTGCTTGACTTTCCTTCAAGACATGTATACTATGTGTCATTATATTACATACTTACTTTTTACGTGTCTGTTGTCTGTTTTATTTCTGTCTGTGTGACTCTACTGTATGCACTCCTTGCTCACAGCTGTTCAGGGCCTACAGCAGGACCAGCACATAATATCTGTCGAAGGTATGAATGTAATCCAGCTCCCTTCTTCCTATAATAATTCAGATAAACTATGGCTGAGAGTTTGAAAGAAACCATTTTGAAAATGTTCTATGATCTAAAATAACAATGAGATGACTCAGCATTGGCCGATCGTTAAAATAGCATGTTAACCTTTCCTTTCCTTTCTTGTTTCAAAGTATTTCCTTAAGTCTGATCAGCTTTGTTCTCTTATTGAGATTCCTCTCTTTATATCAGCTGAGTCTCTTAGGCCCTCTGCCAATCTAACCCAAATCGAAATTATAGCACAGTCATAACTGTTTTTATTCTTTGATCTGGCACGTGAATCTGGATAGAAGTTATCCACAGCATTTCCTCGAACAAATTTCTTGATCTTGTTTCCTAATTTTATAAGTTACATGTATTTTGGACATGTATAGTCATATTTTTACTCCCGAAGTAGCAAAGACATATGTTAAATTGGTATTAGGGATATTAAAAGCTCTTTTTTCTTAGTTTGGCATTATTAGCCATGCTTATGTAGGTAGTTGAATAATTATGCCCAGAATTTAGTATATGCATTAACTATGATAGAGTTCACCAGGAAATGTAAAAATAGAATAAAATACAACACTTTACTTGCAGATTGGAGGTGAGGTGATTGGTATGTTAATTAAAGGTGACCTCAGCACTCTTAACATTAACCTCCTGATTTTCTCCAGTGTTTCAGGTAGAAAAAAAAATTATTCTTCAATATTCCTAAGAATGAGATTGGATAAAGGACACAAATGAAGTCCAGACCAAGTACAAAAACATGAGCTCCTTCTTCTGGCTGCTCAACTAATGCAGACTTAGTCTGGGGATGAGATAACTATCTCAGCAGCCATTCCATCGCTCAGACTTCAAATTATAGTAATTATGACAATTTGTGCCAATAGCCATGAGGTGGGATTTTTGATGTGGTTAAAAATAACATCTGTAAAACCCAATAAAAATTACATTTTGCTAATTTTCTGATAAGATACTGTTTTAACTATACTGTGTCTTCTGCTGCTGCCAGTTTTCAATTAGAGCATTCCTTTAAAAAAATTTTTTTTAACCCATTTTGTCTCCTGGATCCAGTGCCATCCTCAGCAATGCATTTGTTTTAATGCTGTTAATTAATTGTTTTGTGTGCATTTTCCCTTTCAAACTGATACTAATCTTTGAGACTTTATTAACTGGCTGATTGCTAAATCTTGATACAAAAGGACCAAGCACAGGACCCAGTTTGTTCTTTCTGGCTTAGACAATGGAGTTCCCCTAGAGGCCTGCTCAGCCAAGTCAGTGCCAATGATGCAGTGAATAATGGGCCTACTAAGACAGGTTGGGTCTGCGGTTCTGTCCACCTCAGAAATTGCTGGCCTACCCAAGAAACATAGTCATTGGTGATAGCTCACAAGCAGTTCCCCTCAAATGCATTGTAACAGTGCCTTGTGAGTCTTCCTGTGTGGGTTTCCTTAAACCCTTTTCCTCTTGGTCAGCTTCTGATGAACCAATTACGTATTTTCTCATCTTCATACTACATAGATATAAATCCGAGGTTCAGAGAGCTCAAGTGGCCTGTCCAAGCTCACCCACTTGGAAATGAATACTAAAGGCAGGGCTAGCACAGGGTCCTTTAGATTCTTCTTCCACTGGTCTTTCAATCAAATTGTGTCTTTTCTAAGCTATATAAATGTGTGTGGGTAGGACCCACCACTGGTTCTTCAGAAATCATTCCCCTTTATCTTTGCCCTTGTGTCTACTCCTTCTAAACAAGCCAATGAAACTCTTCCTTGATCCAGCACCTCCTCCAGCCACCACCTCAGCTCTTCCCTTCCCTTTGCTTTCCTTTCTTTTCCTTCACGTCTATACTTTTTTTTTTAATTTTTAAAAAAAATTTTTTATGTTTATTTATTTTTGAGACAGAGAGAGACAGAGCATGAACGGGGGAGGGTCAGAGAGAGAGGGAGACACAGAATCTGAAACAGGCTCCAGGCTCTGAGCTGTCAGCACAGAGCCCAACGCGGGGCTCGAACTCACGGACCGCAAGATCATGACCTGAGCCGAAGTCAGTCGCCCAACCGACTGAGCCACCCAGGCGCCCCACATCTATACTTTTAAAAAGGATCAACTACTCTTGTTGACTCCATGTTCTCGCAATCACTGGACAGCATACTGCTATTCAATTGAGACTAGTAGGTGACAACATTTCTCAATTCCAATCTTTCTTCTCTACTTGTACCTTAATTGCTCCATTTCTGGTTCTTATCATCTCTCTTCTGATCAAGCGGGAATTGGGTAAGATGGGAAATGGGAGTTTATTCATTCACCCATTTATCAACTGCTGAGGTCATTAAAGTTAGCAAGAGAAACACAGATCCTGTCCTCACTGAGCTTACAATTATCTTGGGTCTGTCCTGAGATGAATGACTAAGCTTCCTTCTCATTTTCTTTGATTTTCTGTCTTTCTGCCTCAAGTTGTGTATATAATCCTCTCACTCAAAAAGAAAACTTCATTTTACTATAAAGACCATAGGTCAATAATTATATTCTCCTATATCAACTTCTGAAATATATCAGCTAAAATAATAGCCTAGTTAGGTATCGAAACTTAAGTCATATTCTCTAGCAAAATTTTTGACCTCCAAGATTGGTGAACATGTATGTGTATATGTGCACACATGTGCATGGTCAGAGTGTACATGTACTATTTCATGTGATAACTTCTCTAGTTGCTATTTATATATGAAGACATTTTCTTTGTCATTACTGACTACTTTCAAACACTCAAGGGTGTCTTTTTAAATATCAATATTCAGGTTTTACCTTTTCATTCACTTTCTCCTACTTGCAATAGGTAATCTCTTGCTGACTGGGAAAAACCTAGATTTTAATACATTGCATTATCATCTAATTCTTCAGCAATCATTTTCTGTTAACTAATCCATACCCTTTGTTACTTTAAACTTTATCATTGGCAACAGATAAACACTTCCAGTTTATTTTAGTTTAAGTCCAAAATACAAATAGTATCTTTGGAGTGACTCAACATTTTGTTATTGTTTCATTTATGTTTTTGCTCACTCTACTTAGAGCTTGAAGATTCAGATATGCTGAGAAATCAGCCTTTCCTGAAGGTTTGAATGGCTTGTTAGGGAACCTGGCTCTGTCTGTGCCTGGCAGATAAATGAATATAGCTTGAACAGTCCTGATAATTTTAGGAACCACTAGAGCCCTAAAGGATCCTTCCATATCAATCTTAAAGATACCGAGAAAGAAATAGCCATCTTCCGTTCTTATCTCACTGACCTGCCACACTGAGATTTGATTTCTGGAGGAAGAATGAACATGAGCCATTGTTTTTCAATCTCAGTCAATCCAGGGCTCACCTGAAATCTTTTGAGAGTAGAGTTTAGGGAACAAAAGGAGACAGTGAAGAACAGTGGGAAGAGAGTGCTTAGAGATTCGTTCCCCAAAATTGGCCCAGGGGATCAAGACTTAAGGGCAAGTAGGCCACAGAAATATGAGGACAGGGGCCAAGTGTGCTTTGTTTTCTGTCACATCCTTTCACTTGATGAACATTTACCAGGGAGAGGGGTTTCAGTGCTTTGTGTTACAAAGTCAGTGGGAGGTGAAAATGAGGACAATCGTGATCTGTTCTTTAATGATATTTGTTTGAGTAGGAATGAAATGATGGCTAGAGAAGCTGTGGAATCAGATGAGGTATTTGTTTTTGGTGGGAGGGGGGTGGTTGAAAGCATCTTACACATGTTTCTGAGAGTAGCAAAGAAGTAGAGGAGAGGCTGAAGATAAGGAGAAAATGGTGATAGATCAAGACCCAAGAGGAGCAATGTAGGATGTGCTCACACACTCTCTTCCACACACCTTAACAAACATATGCGTCTCTTTCCCGTATGGTTTAAGAGTATTAGACTTTGGGATCTTTTGACTCTCATAGGAAAGTCTTTTCTCTTGCTTTTATTTCTTAAGACATCCTGGTGTAAAATTCCTAATTCTGGAAAAATGAAGGAAAAGGGAAAGAGAATTCCACCAAAGCACCAAACAGAAGAAATAAAGGTAGATGCACATATATATTAATTATATATGAATACATAATATATATATAAATTATACATATGAATTACATAGAAATTTATAAAATATATATCTATTAATATGAGTATCTCTAGGCAGAGATATATACTGAAATAGTATATTATGCCTGTATTTTGTTTAAAATAATCTAGGTTGGGAGAGACCAGAAGGGGCATAGATGAAACAAGATTGATCATAAGAACCCTCCACTATTGTATATATTTTAAATTTTATGTAATGAAACATTTTTTATAAAGCAAAAGTCAAATGTCCATTATTCACTCACTCCTTGAGATTTATTTTGAAGATACCATATTTTCCTGAAGAAAGTAAAGTGTATTTGCTTGTAAGACCTTGGCTAGTCTATAATGATAGTTCATTGGGTGTTTTGATATCTTTGGTAAAAACTGCACCAGGGGACTTAAAACATTCTCAATCCCTTTAATTTCATGATCTGATAGAAAACCGGTAAGTTAACTGTTTTTTTTTTAATTTTTTTTTTTTAATTTTTTTTCAACGTTTATTTATTTTTGGGACAGAGAGAGACAGAGCATGAACGGGGGAGGGGCAGAGAGAGAGGGAGACACAGAATCGGAAACAGGCTCCAGGCTCTGAGCCATCAGCCCAGAGCCCGACGCGGGGCTCGAACTCAGGGACCACGAGATCGTGACCTGGCTGAAGTCGGACGCTTAACCGACTGCGCCACCCAGGCGCCCCTAAATTTTTTTTTTTTAACATTCATTCATTTTAACATTATTCATTTTAATGGAGAGAGACAGGGCCTGAGCAAGGGAGCAGCAAAGTGAGAGAGAGAGAGAGAGAGAGAGAGAGAAAGAAAGAGAGAGAAAGAGAGAGAGAGAGAAAGAGAGAGAGAGAGAGAGAGAGAGAGAGAGAGACAGAATCCAAAGAAGCCTCCAGGCTCTGAGCTGTCAGCACAGAGTTTGACACAGGACTTGAACCCACGAACCATGAGATCATGACCTGAGCCAAAGTCAGACGCTCAACTGACTGAGCCACCCAGGCACCCCGATTAATTGCTTTAATTGTTTAATTATTAGTAACATTGAATATCTGTCATATGCTTATTGGCTATCTGTATTTCTCCTGCAGTTGGCTTTCTATTTTTTGCCAATCATACTAGTTTCCTGTGGCTGCTCTACCAAATGACCACAAACCTGGTGGCTTAAAACAACTCAGAAAGGTATTTTCTCACAGTTCTATAGGCCAGAAGTTAAAATCAGTATCACTGGACAGAAGTCAAGGTGTCAGCATGGAAACTTGCAGGGCGAATGTGTTCCTTATCTCTTCCAGCTTCCAATGGCTGCAATACTCCTTGGCTTGTGGCTGTTATCACTTCAGTCTTCAAGGTCGACATCTCCAAATCTCTCTCTGCTCTGTGTTCACACCATATTCTCCTGTCTATAAAATTCTTCTGCCTCTTTCTTATAAGAATATATCTGATCAAATTTAGGGTCTACCCAGATATCTATGATAATCTTCCTATTTCAAGATCCTTAATCATACTCTCTGAGAGCACGTCGCCCCTCCCCCCCAAAGTAATACTCAGTTGCGGATATCTTTGGGTGGCTAGTTTTCAGACTACCACAAAGTTTTACATTGTCTTTTTTAAAAAAGTCTTTTTTTTTTTTTAAATTTTAGACTAATTTTAAGTTTAGAGAAACATTGCAATGACAGTACAGTGTTCCCGTACATCTTTACCCCAGCTTCCCTAGGATGGTTTTTAAAATGTTTTCTTTCTTAAGAATTTGTTTTTGCATTAGGTGCTAATAAGACTGGGTACAGTGTTTGTTTTTAGAGCAAAATATGTTGAAAAAAGCCTATGTGGTACTTTTTGTTTGTTTCAAATGAGATCCTCATTATTCATATCCTACTTTTCCAAAGAAGGAGGGAGAAGACCATGATTCTGGCTAACAAATGAATTGATTAATACAAGCATGGATCCACACAGTTCCACTTAGAGTAATAATTGGGAAGAGTCATGATTGTCAATTATGAGTAAGATTTATAGTAATTTTAATAGGGTATACCCCAAATTTATTTTTTTACCTTAATAATAAATTTCCATAAATATTTTGTTTCATATATATCCAAGAACAGCTTCAGATATTTCAAGATTTCTTTTTATTAGAAGAGGAAATGAAAAATAAAAGTTCATTTTGTGAGTCAGTGAACAGTGAGACAAAAGAACATCTTAAGTGTCCCGTTCACTGGGCCGACGCTAGTCAATTAAATTATACATTGAACAGTACATTGAACAGAGTGAATTAAGTGTATATTGTTTATTGGGAATTATCCAGTGTGATCTGATCTAAACTCTAAACAACGTTAGTACATCTAGGGAGGTTAGCTAAGTCCGTATAAATTTCATTCAATGGAAGCCATTTGAAGGTGTGGGCAAATGAGCCACTGCTTTCCTTTTCCTTTTCATTTGATTTCTGAGACCAGATGTTTGTCATGATACATATTTGGCCATGGAGATCTGGGGATCAGATCTTTGATCTCATTTGATAGGATCACATAAACAGAAGGCAAAATTCTACCTGAAGACTGGGATTTGGTGATGATGATATTTTTAGCTTCTTTATGACCATTTAGTTGATACTGTGGAGAATCCAGCTGATGCTCTTATTGTAGGTAGCAAAACACCCCATTTTCATTGGGACATCTGGAGAGAGATATTGGCTCCATTGCATTTTACCCGATATACAGAAGACTAATGAGAGAAGCAAACATTTTATTAAAGTTTGAGATCTCAGGGCTCCTCAGGCCACCACCGTCTTCAGATATTGTTTTCTTGATGGCTTTGGGCCAATTACTTAGCCTCTTTACCTCAGCTTCTCAATTGGTAAAATGGGAACTGTTATAGTGTGATTAATTTATCTCCTAAGGGGGTTGTTTATATTAATTAACTGCTGTTAAGAGCTTTGAAGATGAAAAGTGCTAACTGCTTATGCCATGATTAGCCATGGAAGAGTGGAATATGATAACTGCTTCACTAGATAAATGACTAAACCTGATACACACAAACTGTGAAATCTGTGGGAGGAGTTAAGACCCAGGGCAATGAGACAGCTGATGAACCAACCTCATCAGGGAATATATTAGTTACACTTGAGCCTTGGTTTAAACGGTTTAAACCCACTTCTGAAATATATGTTTAAAATGTCATAACAGAGGCACCACAGTTTGCTTTCTGAGTGCCTGTTACTGATATTTCTTTCCTGGATATATGTTCCCCACAAACCCAACTAAATCTACCCTCACTCATATTCTAAAGAGTATCGATTATTTTCAAATACCCTTTACTTCTGCACTTACATACAACCCCAGACAACATGCAAATTCTATGGTTGACAAGGTAGAACATTCTGCCTTTTATTTGTATTGTTCAAACTAACGCAAACATGTTAGTGGAACATAAACTGCCATTCCTTTGAGCCAATGAATATTTAAGGATATTAATTTACTTCCTTTAATAGACTTTAAGAAATTTTAAAAATAAACATATGGAACAAAGGAATAAGATGTCACTTTAAGCTTGAGCTGTGGCTGAGGACTGTGTGTTTTGCCATTGACCGTATCATTACCTACCTAGTTATGAGGTCATACCTCTGCACAGTTCATTAGAATTTATCTTTGATTTTATGGCAAACCGTAAGTGCAAAGCCAAGATACTTTGGTCAACATTTATTGCATTGGTATATTTATCTCAAAGGCGTATGCTAAAAAAAAACAAACAAAAAACAAAAAACCAACAACAACAACAAAAAACTAAAGGGACAGGGTCTCTCCAAAGTTCTTGGCATTAGGATTCTTGGTAATACTCTAAAATGATATTTCATTTGGGATAGCATTTTGGGAACCTCCTCTAGCATTCTCATGATTCACAGATAATATGTAATCCCATTTTGTTTTAGGACAACTTATAAACTTTAATTAATTAAAAAAATTATTTCCTTGCTTATTTATGGATATGCCACATTATTTTAAAGGGGGATTTAAAAGCAGTCTCCTTTATTAGGGGAAACACCTTTTCTATATTATAGTTTGATCTTTAAAGCTTGTATCTGGAGTAGGATATGGGAAAGTGCAAACTCAAGTAATTCTCATTTTAAAAACAACCACTAGAATCCTTAATATTCATGTCCAAGGGGTGTCACAGTGTAGTGGAAAGAATACCAAATTTTGAGTCAGAAAACCAAATTTTACATCCTTGCCCCAGCACTTCCTCAGCAGTGCAATTTTGACAAATCATTTACTTTCAGTATTTCTATCTATGAACTGGAAATAGTACCTTTGTCATAGATTTACTCTATGGCCGGAATGACCCATGTTTATGAGAGAGTACCTGGTATCTGGTAGGGACTAGGTAACGTTTTACTTATCCTCTTTGGCCCGTTAGAATCCAGTAGAGAGTCTTGCCAAAGAGCCATTATAGACTTTTATCTAAAAGCTCCCGTTTGCATCATTTCTGTTTCTGAGAATAGTGTATTCTTGAAAAATTTCCACAACTATAATGTGGCTGGAGCTTTCTTATGCTGAGTCATAAGATTCATATTAAAAGCTAATTTGCTTTTAAAGAATTTAATCTTAAGAAAAAAAAAAAAAAAAAAAAACAAAACCCAGATGTATCCCAAATGATTCTTCAAGTGAGAAATCAAGGATGTGAAATCTCACAGGGTATTTTGTTATTATTAAAAGAAAACAGATACGTTTTCAGAATGGTCTGTTAAAGATTTGACTACGCAATTTGGGTTTAACAATTTAAATTGTTACAACTTTATGTGTCCCCAAATTCACCATTTTCAGGCTCCAGCTACTATTTCAATAAATAAAACATCAGTCCCTTAGGACAAATGACAAGGAAATCCTCATATAACCTTAAACAGAAGTAGAAGGGAACGGGGAAGTGCTTAAACCTAACAGAGGAAGAAGTCTTTTCGGAATACAAGCCCAAATAAATATTTGAACAGGAATGGTATCTTCATGCGTGGTGAAAAATAGTCCTTTTCAGGCTGTACAGTTTGGCAGGCTGGCATGTTGACTTTATCACCTCGGGATCTCTGGGGTTTCAGACACCTTCCCGCAGGCGTCATCACGAGCATGCGCACACCCCTGCCCAGGGGCCTGAGGCTGCAGGCTGGGGCCTGTGAGCCGCTCCCAGGAACATCCCCGGGGCCCAGCCCTCCAGTGCCAGGGCGAAGTTCTTTATCCCGCCTTCGACACGACCAACGCCATCGAATGCCATTTTAGTTGCGTCTACTTCATATCCCTGGAATTCAGAACTCTGGTATAATAGGTAGAAGTGACAACCTTTCTATTCCGGGATGAGTTCTGCTTCTCTCATTTCACTTTTACGATAAAACTCCACACATTTGGATTGAGAGGGAAGGCAAGAAGCAGTTAAAATTTTTGAGAGTTTGGATGGCAGACTATACTAAAAGGAAGCATAGAGCCTAGCAGCCTGGTAAGTAAGGATCTTTAACAAGTTCGGTTTCTTTATGTAATGCAGGGGGCAGGTTCAAATGCCGTTTTGGAGGTAACTTAATACAAAGTGTGGAGACTGCCCAGGTTGTTCTTTTTATTGGTTGGCATTTAAGAAGAAGGTGGGTTCAAGAGATTATTTCTGAGGGTAGAAACTCTGCTTGACGGACAGTATTGAAATGCCCACCAGGAGTGGTCCCAACCCCATGACCTGATGTGACAAATGCCCAAAAGTTAGTTGGAAAATTTTATTATACTCTGCTAGGAAATAAAAATGCCAGAAATAAAGTACCGTCCAAATGAAAACCATCAGTTGTTTATAAGTATTTTTAGGTATTTGCTGTGTTTTCAGAAAATAGTTTTGTTTGCTTTTTGAAAGTCATTCCATGATGAAAATGGTTATGTCACATGTTCTTAGCTCAACATCCATTCACTATTAAAGCTTAATATTTCTAATTATTATGACTATTATTTTTAAATAACATAACAAATCATTGTGTATCATTAGTACTTTGATCTCCTTGCCTTCCTTAATGGAATGTCTTTACTCACAGTATACTTTGTTCTTTCAGGTTGACCTTGGGAGAGTTGGCAAGGCCTGGGTCTTCAAAGTCAGATGATTGTCAAAAAGTGAATATGATGTACCAGTACCTAGTTTATTACTTAGAGTAGAGGCTGGAATACATAACTGATTTTAAAATAAGAAGAGTGGTTAAAAAAAAAATAAGACTCTTAAACACAGAAAACAAACTGATGGTTGCCAGAGGGGAGATTGGTGAGGAGATGGATGAAATAGATAAAGGGGATTAACAGTTACAAACTTTCAGTTATAAAATAAATACGTCACAGGATGAAACGTACAGCACAGAGAATACGGTCAATAATATTGTTATAACATTGGTGACAGATGGTGGCTACACTTATTGGGTGAGCACTGTGTAATATATGGAATTGTTGTATCAGTATGTTGTACACCTGAAACCAATACAACACTGTGTGTTAATTACACTTCAACAAAAATAAAAATTAAAAAAAAAAAAAGAAGAATGGTTTAATTTTTACAAAGTATTCACCCAGATTTGCAAAGCTAAGCTCTAATGAACCTTTTCTTGACTTCATGGACAAATTCTGGAATAGTTTCCAAAGGCTGATAGAAATAACCAGATAATGTCCATAAAGTGCTGAGCACAGGGTCAGGCACACATGAGGCGGTAAATAAATAAAAGCAGTTATCATACTGTTAAGAAAAGCCTCCAGATATCATTCGAATCAGCACACGAGAGAAGTAGAAGACCATGTCAACCATTGCTCATGTAGCTCTCTGCTGTGCTCCAGTGTGTAATACACAATGTAGTCTGGAACTTCTTGGGTCACTATGGAAAGATTTCCCTTCTTTATACGATTCCAGCACAGCACTTCTCAAAGGGCATTGGCTTGCCTTGTTCTGGCACCAACTATATGCCAGCAAGAATAGTGGAAGTTTAACTGACAGAAGGGTAAAGTTCAGGGGGCATGTTATCATTCGTGTCCTTAAAAAGTCAACATCAGTCTCAGCTGACAGCTTCCCTCCAAGCTTAAGTATACAGTCTGGGTTTTCCAGGATATTGTCATGAGTTCACAGCTTACTTCATTTCCCTGACCCTATCCTTGACCAACCTGCTATGTTAGAACTATGGCTTCCAGTGGTTGCTCAACACTTGGCAGATGGGCTGAACTTTGAAATGGTGTTTTACATGAGGGCAGCCCTTGCTCTGGCTGGATCTGTATGCAGAAGCTTCAGTGGGGAAGCAAATTATTTGAACATGTATATGTGTGTGTATAGAGGAGTGGAGGCAGGACTATGGCTGCCCAGCCTGAAACTAGCCCATATCCCAGACTTCCATTAACTTTTCCAAAAGTGGACTCCAATTCAGTGACCAACAACCTCAAGCTGACCTTTAAGACATGACAACAATATCAAAGCTCTAGTTCCCACCAGAACCTGAATCACCGCCAGAGGCATTTGGCCTGCAAAGTACCCATCCATTCCACTTTTGGAGCCATTTTGATTTCAGAAGACCAGTATGCCAAGGTCTGAGGGAGGCAGATGGCTCCAACAGTCTTTTTTTTTTTTTTTTTTTTCCTTTCTTTTCCTCAGAGAATAACAGCATGAGAGCCATCTTTTATCACTTGTACCTTCTGGTTTTATGTCTTCATGGGTAGTGTAGGGCAGTAGTAGGTGAATGTGTGGAATGGGGTGGGAATAGGGAGTAGGGGAAAACAGAGATTAGATAGGGAGAAAATGGGCTTAAATGGAGAGTACAGATTTCATGAGCCTATACCAGGGTAAGTGGGGAAATGAGGCTAACCTAGAAAACTGAAATTGCTGCCTTCCCAACATAGAATTATCATCCTAGTCACGCCTGAGGCCAGTTTGAGGGCAAGTTGTTGGGGGGGGGGGTGGTGACTCTCCTATCCTTTTCCCTAAACCTAAATCCTTTTCTTTCCGCCTGACTTCCTTCACTTCCACTATTCTCTATATATACATATTTTTGTGGTCTTTTAAAAAACTAAAAAGATATGCACCAGCCCGTTAATACTAACTAATGTTGGAGGCAAGAGGGATGATATTCACTTTATTTTTTTTTATTCTTTTTTTTTTATATTCACTTTAAAAACTATATATTTTTGGATTATAGTACTTGTTGCTTTACACATTTAATATTTTTAAAATTAAGAAATAAAAACGTTGATAAACATATTTTCCTTCCTCTACTGCTCCCCTTCCCCAAATCTTCTGGCTCAAAAGTGAGTCTTCCTTCCATTCCAGCCCAATCAAAATTTCTTTTTATTTTATTTTATTTTGTTTTTATTTTTGGAGAGAGAGAGACAGGCTCAAACTCACAAACTGTGAGATCATGACCTGAGCCTAAGTTGGGTGCTCAACTGACTGAGCCACCCAGGGCCCCTCCCCTCAATCAAAATTTCTATTTCCCCAATGTTAGGTAGCTAGGCAGTGATCAAACTGTTTGGTTAAAGTAATTCCACTAATGTGTGTTCAAGAAGTGCTGTTGGGCATTATTGACATTGTCGATCAGGCAATAAGTGGGTGAGGGTATCAGAAGAGTGGTCGACCTGGGTGATAATCCCATCACCACCACGAGCTTCGTCTAAGACTTTGAGCATATCATTTCAAATGCCCATATCTTCGGCCTATTTTTTTTTTTTTTTTTTTTTACTAGCAGCAAAAAAAAGAAAGCAATACTACCATTCTTGTACCCTGAAAGTTTTGAAGAGTCATTTTGGGCTTAGTCTGTGAGTTTTCACTGCATTGTCTCCTAGGTCCGGTGGCAGTGGTGGTGGTGGTGATGAGGTGCAGGGAGATGGAGAGAAGAAAATACCATTTCTCTTTACAAAGGAGAAAAGATATGCCCCCATTGACCTAGATGTCATGAGTCTTTTTTTCTCAAAGAGAAATGCAGGTTCCAGAAGCACCTTGTAGTTGGGAACCACTAAAACTTAAAACACAAACTACTTTGCTTTGTACTCTTTATAGACGGATATGACCTAAAAATGGTTCCGTACTGTCATTGCACTTTCCATAGAACACCATGAGGAAGAACTGGCTTCCTCAAGGACATGCTTTCCTTTGCCACACTGAGTACCTACCTTGTGCTTAGATTGTTCTTATACTGGGCTCTGTGGACAAAACAGAATTTCTTAACATGAGAAATGCTCAGTTAAATGCTCATTTAAGAAGTGAAATGAGAATGAAATTTCAGTCGCAAGCGAAGCCTATAGTATTTTTAAAAACAAGGAATAAAATGAGGGAAATGAAATCATAACCTTTACCTGAACCAGTTCATCCTCTTTTTTTTTTTTTTAACTTTATTTCTCTAGTAGGAAAATAATTCATCTGGCCTGACTGTGTTCGTTACCACATAGCCGGCACAGTTGTCTCATGCCAGCACCAAGACCATATGAAGCTAAATCAACAGACCCTGATTTGTTGGCTCAACCAAGTATAAACTAGCCACTGGAAAATCGAGTTGAAAACATAGGACAAATATATGAAAGAGACAAGCCACAGCTTGCAGGAGAGAAAATGTTTGCAGAAAACTCCAGCATTACAGGTTTATCTAAGGTGTGGTCTCAGGTAAGCTGCAGTAATTACCCCAGGATACCACAGCTAGTGGCTGAAAAATGAAGTGCTTCACAAACTTAACCCTTTCATTTCTCCCCAGACAAGCTTTTAGAGGAATTCACTCGATAGCCAGCTTATAGTAAACTAGAAGAATCGTTTTTATTGTGATTGAAATTGTTTTTAATCATTCCTATATCCAAAGATATTTCTTAACTGTGGCCTTTCATTTGTTCTTTCTACATTTAGCTTTACAAATGTACAGGACTTCATTTTTTGGTGCAACGTAGTTGAAGATCTTACACCACTGGGGGCTTTGTGGTTTAAGGATGATGTGGTTAAAGAAGCACAAAGAAGGTTAAAAATTGCATTCTGGTAAAGGCCAGTCCCTTTACAACTAGGATCTCAGTTTCCTCATCCTATACAAGGCATAACATCACATGGTCTCTGAAGGCCCTTTTTAGCTCTGACCCTTCATTTTTCTATTTTGTAGAAAGTGTGGCATCAAGAAGCAGTTCTCCAATCAATCCACAAGACACATCTAAATTATTGATTAATTATAACATCTGAATTTAGAAAAGCCATTATGTATTGAAATTGCTTCATTTTTGTTAAGAATGAGAAAAATTTTAAAGTGCCTGGTTTAGTTTGAATTGTGTACAAGCTAAAGCTCTTCTACCTACTTAACTTCCCTTGAAAATGATCTGGTTATATTGTGTTTTACTATGTATTTTGGATTTTCACATAACATTAGCACTCTATGTCCCTTGAATATATTTTCATGCTTTTTTTCAGATGGTTTTATCTTTGCATCACATTTAGAATTTAAGAGAGAAGATGCCTATACCTATAGCTATATTCCTTATAGAATCTGTATTTCATTTTGCCTTCGCACAGTAAATAACCCATTCCCAACAGAAACTATGCAAATACCTGTGGCTAGTGGTCCATCAAATCCTATAGTTGGAAGAAAAATTAGGCATAATCTTATCCAGCCTCTCACTATTTTTATGATAATAATAGTAATATAATAATGAATAGCTATCATTCTTTCAGTACTTACTATAAGAA